TGCCCTTTTTTTTGTCACTCCCTTGCCGTTCTGCCTGGGAGGGAAATAATTGCCTGCCTCTGCCTTCAGTTCCAGGCCCTTGCGAACCCGAAGACCTCATTGATGGCATTATCTTCGCTGCCAATTACCTGGGCTCCACGCAGCTGCTCTCTGAGCGTAACCCGTCCAAAAACATCCGCATGATGCAAGCGCAGGAGGCGGTGAGCCGTGTCAAGGTAGGAGATGTTTTCGAGCAGCAGGGGGTCCCGCAGGGTCCCGCGAGAGCCGGACTCTGCCGAGCCGGAGCCACCTGGCGCTCTGTGTTCACAGCAGCAGACAGGTTGCTGCTATTCTTGGAGCCTCATATTAATTGTTTTCTTTTCTACCGCACGCCCCGTGTGTAGAGGAGCAAAATATCAGTCCGCTCGGGGGTCCTTTGAAATGTCTTGAAGTTGTCTTGTACTCAGTGTAGCTTCTGGATTCAGGGGGAAGGGAACGGTTTGCCTTTGAAAGATGAGAAAGGCATTGATTTTCGGATTTTCAGTCCATTTTTCAAAGAGCCACTCCCCGAGGAAGGACGAAAGGAAATACTTCTGTGCACCATGACTGATTAAAATGGGGAATTCACTGACACAGGGTGTTGTGATGGCCACAGGCGTGGAAGGCTTTCAGTGGGAATTAGAGAGATTCATAGAGGGAGAGGTCTACCTGGGGTTACTAGCCATGGTGACTAAAGAAAACCTCCACATTCAGAGTCAGCCAATCTCTGAACTGCAGTGCCTGGAGGCAACATCAGGGCAACACCTCAGTCTCTGTATTCCCTGTTGTTGGCCCTCCAGAGGAACTGGCTGGCCACTGTGTGAAACAGGATGCTGGACTAGGTGGACCACTGGTCTGATCCAGCAGGGCTGCTCTTTTCTTATGGGCTTGAGTTCTTAACCTCCACATTCAGAGGCAGTCAACCTATGAATCCCAGTGCCGGGGTCAACATCGGGGAAGCCTCTGTTCCCTGTTGCTAGACCTCCAAAAGGTCTAGTGCAGAAAGGACCTATGTCTGTACCTTTTAGGCATTCCCCACATCAGTTCTCAAACGGCTGTATTCCATCTCTGCATTCCAGTTCCGTAGCCTGCAGATACACGACCCGAACTCTCTGTTTAAATATTTACTCCTGAGGTTATGCTATCCCATTGGCAATTAGATAGGCATTTGTGAGCAAGCGAGTCTATTAAGGGATGCTTGGGCCTGCAGGAGCCCTTTTTTTTGTCACTCCCTTGCCGTTCTGCCTGGGAGGGAAATAATTGCCTGCCTCTGCCTTCAGTTCCAGGCCCTTGCGAACCCGAAGACCTCATTGATGGCATTATCTTCGCTGCCAATTACCTGGGCTCCACGCAGCTGCTCTCTGAGCGTAATCCGTCCAAAAACATCCGCATGATGCAAGCGCAGGAGGCGGTGAGCCGTGTCAAGGTAGGAGATGTTTTCGAGCAGCAGGGGGTCCCGCAGGGTCCCGCGAGAGCCGGACTCTGCCGAGCCGGAGCCACCTGGCGCTCTGTGTTCACAGCAGCAGACAAGTTGCTGCTATTCTCGGAGCCTCATATTAATTGTTTTCTTTTCTACCGCACGCCCCGTGTGTAGAGGAGCAAAATATCAGTCCGCTCGGGGGTCCTTTGAAATGTCTTGAAGTTGTCTTGTACTCAGTGTAGCTTCTGGATTCAGGGGGAAGGGAACGGTTTGCCTTTGAAAGATGAGAAAGGCATTGATTTTCGGATTTTCAGTCCATTTTTCAAAGAGCCACTCCCCGAGGAAGGACGAAAGGAAATACTTCTGTGCACCATGACTGATTAAAATGGGGAATTCACTGACACAGGGTGTTGTGATGGCCACAGGCGTGGAAGGCTTTCAGTGGGAATTAGAGAGATTCATAGAGGGAGAGGTCTACCTGGGGTTACTAGCCATGGTGACTAAAGAAAACCTCCACATTCAGAGTCAGCCAATCTCTGAACTGCAGTGCCTGGAGGCAACATCAGGGCAACACCTCAGTCTCTGTATTCCCTGTTGCTGGTCCTCCAGAGGAACTTGCTGGCCCCTGTGTGAAACAGGATGCTGGACTAGGTGGACCACTGGTCTGATCCAGCAGGGCTGCTCTTAAGTTCTTATGGGCTTGTGTTCTTAACCTCCACATTCAGAGGCAGTCACCCTATGAATCCCAGTGCCGGGGTCAACATCGAAGAAGGCCTCAGCCTCTGTTCCCTGTTGCTAGACCTCCAAAGGAACTGGCTGGCCCCTGTGTGAGACAGGATGGTGGACTAGATGGACCCTCACTGGTCTGATCCAGCAGGGCTCTTCTGATGTTCTTATGCAGGCCTCAGCCTCTATGCCCTGTTGTTGGCCGTCCAGAGGAACTGGTTGGCTGCTGTGTGAGACAGGATGCTGGACTAGGTGGACCACTGGTCTGATCCTCCAGGGCTCTTCTGAGGTTCTCCTCAGGGGAAGGCCTCGGCCTCTTGGCCTTGTTGTTGGCCCTCCAAAGGAACTGGCTGGCCCCTGTGTGAGACAGGAGGCTGGTCTAGATGGACCCTCACTGGTCTGATCCAGCAGGGCTCTTCTGATGTTCTTATCAGAGGAAGGCTTTGGCCTCTCTGCCCTGTTGTTGGCCCTCCAGAGGAACTGGTTAGCCACTGTGCGAGACAGGATGCTGGACTAGGTGGACCACTGAGCTGATCCAATAGGGCTCTTCTTATGTTCTTATTAGAGGAAGGCCTTGGTCTCTGTGCCCTGTTGTTGGCCCTACAGATGAACTGGCTGGCCACTTTGTGAGACAGGGTGCTGGACTAGATGGACCCTCACTGGTCTGCTCCAGAATGCTAGTGGCAGATACATCACACCCTTCTCGTTTGCACTGCAATCTCACTGGATAAACGCACGATTACTTTTGCAGGTGCACAAACCCAACCTTACAGTCCCGGTGCCACAAATGTTAAAAACTCTTATGTTTTTATGGACTAATGTTCTTAATTTCCGTGTTCAGAGGCAGTCAACTTCTGAATCCCAGTGCAAGGAGACCACATCAGGGGAAGGTCTTGGCCTCTAAGCCCTGTTGTTGGCTGTCCAAAGGAACTGGTTGGCCACTGCATGAGACAGGATGCTGGATTAAATGGATGATTGGTCTGATCCAGCAGGACTCATATGTTGTTATAGTGAATCTCCACATTCAGAGGCAGTCAGCCTCTGAATCCCAGTGCCAGGAGGCCACATCAGGGGAAGGTCTCAGGCTATATGCCCTGTTGTTGGCTGTACGAAGGAACTGGTTGGCCACTGTGTGAGATAGGATGCTGGACTAGATGGACCACTGGTCTGATCCAGCAGGGCTCTTCTGATGTTCTTATGAAAGCCATTGGTCTCTATACTCTGTTGTTGGGACTCCAGAGGAACTGGTTCACCGCTGGGTGAGATAGGATGCTGGACTAGATGGACCCTCACTGGTCTGATCCAGCAGGGCTCTTCTGATGTTCTTATGAAGGCCATTGGTCTCTGTACTCTGTTGTTGGGACTCCAGAGGAACTGGTTCAACGCTGGGTGAGATAGGATGCTGGACTAGATGGACCCTCACTGGTCCGTTCCAGGAGGGCTCTTCTGATGTTCTTGTTAGGGGAAGGTCTCGGCCTCTGTGCCCTGTTGTTGGCCCTCCAGAGGAACTGTCTGGCCACTTTTTGAGACAGGGTGCTGGACTAGATGGACCCTCACTGGTCTGCTCCAGAATGCTAGTGGCAGATACATCACATCCTTCTCGTTAGCACTGCAATCTCACTGGATAAACACATTATTACTTTTGCAGGTACACAAACCCAACCTTACAGTCCCGGTGCCACAAATGTTAAAAACACACACTTCTGCAGTGCTGTGAGGTGCGTGGAGATCCCTTTGTGAATGGCACGGGGGTTAGTCGGAGGTGAACTCTGCCCACGTTTTATTGAATGCGCGCAAATGAAAATTAAATATAGCCCCCGCCTCCAGTGTTCCCTCTAAGCTGAGTTAGTGTGAGCCAGCTCACAGTTTTTTTTAGCCTCCGGCTCACACATTTTTGTCTCGGCTCAGGAAGGGATGGCTCCAGAGGCAAACTGATTTATGCGGCAGCCAAGTTGCTCGCTCACAACTTCAATGCCAGCAGCTCACAAAGTGGAATTTCTGCTCATAAGATTCCACAGCTTAGCGGGAGCATTGCCCCCGCCCCTGGGGTTTAGGGACTGAGGCCTGATTTTAAACTTGACGCCTGTCAACTGAGGCCTGATTTTAAAGGTTGATGGAGCCGGGTATGTTTAGCCTGGAGGGGAGACGACTGAGAGGTAGGTGACATGATCCCCATCTTCAAGTCCTTGAAGGGCTGCCCTATAGAGGATGGGGCGGAGTTGTTTCCTGTGGCCCCAGAAGGTCGGACCAGAACCAACCGGTTGGAATTAAATCAGAGGAGTTTTTGGCTAAACATGAGGAAGGACTTCCTGACAGTTAGGTTCCTCGGGGGAACAGGCTTATTCGGGAGGTGGTGAGCTCTCCTTCTTGGGAGGTTTTCAAATATAGGCTAGATGGCCATCTGACAGCAATGCTGATTCTGTGAACTTAGGCAGATCATGAGAAGGGAGGGCAGGAAAAGGTTGCATCAGTGCTTAGTTCTCGTGGCCCTTTCTTACACGCTCAGGGAAATGCTGATCGCTACTTTGGTGTTCAGGAGGCAACTTTTCTCCAGGCCAGTTTGGGTGGAGATCCTGGAGGTTTTTTTTCATCTTCTGGGCATGGAGCAGGTTTTTTTTCATCTTCTGGGCATGGAGCAGGGTATTTGTGAATTTCCTGCATTGTGCAGGGGGTTGGACTAGATGACCCTGGAGGTCCCTTCCAATTCTATGATTCTATGAAATGTGATGCTTCTAACCAAGGCCTGATTTTAAATGTGATGCTTGCCGAGGCAAACCCCCAACACCACCACAATAATCTTCATCTGTGGGGCTTAGCCTTCATGTGGCATCTCAAATGTCAGTGGTTTACACCAGTGACAGTGAGAGCCCGTGTGGTTTCGAGGTTAAAGTGTTGGACTACGATTTGGGAAATCCAGGTTCGAATCTCCTCTCACGCCACAGAAGCCTTCCTCTGGGCATAGAGCAGGGGTCCCTGGGGGGTGGTGCGGAGCAGCTGTGAGTTTCCTGCATTGTGCAGAGGGTTGGACTAGATGGCCTTTGGGGCACCCTTCCAGCTCTAGGCTCCTTTGTCGGGGACTTGGGTTGCAATCCAGGTGTCTCTTTGCACAAGTTACTCCCCCTGGAAATATTTTATTTATTTGTATTTATACCCCGCCCTCCCCACAAGCGGGCTCAGGTAGTCAGATCCAGGTAGTCAGCCGTGTTGGTCTGAAGCAGTATTTTAAAAAGAGGAAGGAATTTTTCTCCAGGCCAGTTTGGCCAGGGATCCTGGAGGTTTTTTGCCATCTTCTGGGCATGGAACAGTCGTCTCACAGTCAGGAAGTTTCTCCTGATATTTAGCCGGTAACGTCTCCCTTGTAATTTCCACCCACTAGATCTAGTCTTGCAATCCGGAGCAAGAGAGAATAGATCTGCTCCATCTTCTACATGACAGTCCTTCAAATACTTGAAGACGGCCATCATGTCCCCTCTAAGCCTTCTCTTTCTCAGGCTAAACAGACCCAACTCTTTCAGCCTTTCCTCGTAAGACTTGGATTCCAACCCTCTCACCATCCTGGTTGCCCTCTTCTGGACACGCTCGAGCTTGTCAACATCCTTCCTAAAATGGGGTGCCCAAAACTGGACACAGGACTCCAGGTGGTCTTTGGTGGTCTTAAAGATGCCCCACTGGACTCCAAATTCGTCCCCCCTGGAAAGTTTAAAATGTGTCACCATTTGGGGGCCTTTCGATGAAGCATCACAGTTCCCTTTCCAGGTAGCTGGATTTGCAGTGATGGATGCCTGGGGCGGGCAGAATATTTTGCAATAGACACATCTGGATGGTGGTTTAATTCTGGGCCGCAGGAAGAGAGAGAGAGAGAGAGAGAGAGAGAGGCACGCTCTTGTTTCCCGGTGATCCGCGTGGTTTGGCACACGAAACGGCTCTGGCATCACTTGGAACCGAATCTGCAGGCCATGAGCGAGCACCGATCGTGTCACGACAAAATACCGTTTAATTAGCATTGATGTTGCGCTGTCAGGTGTACTTAGTAGGCGGTCTGTTAAAAGAAGAGACAGAAACCTGCCAGCTATTTATATTTTTAATAGCTGTTCAAAGGTGCGCACAGTTCGTTATCAGAAGGGGGCAGAGAGAGAAATGTATTTTTTTTTAATTTTGCCAGAGCGAGTAGAATTTGGATTTGTCAAATCCCACCTTTTCTAGCTTGCAAGAAATACCGCTTGTCTGAGTTAATTACAGTCTAGCTTTCTGTGCGGCTTTTTGTGGTGTGGAGCCGTGTGCCTCTTGGGACTTACAGGTGCAGAACATATTGTAGAATTGACCCTATATGTGAAGCATGGAAAACAGGGTCCCTGTATCGTGTTTTCCCCCAACCCCTCTATAATTCATAGCGACACTTATTCAGTGTTGTGATATTGTGCATTTCCCTGCCTCCATTTGATGATGGAGTGGAGGGGGAGGTATTCGTGAATTCCCTGCATTGTGCAGGGAGTTGTACTAGATGACCCTGGAGGTCCCTTCCAACTCTATGATTCTATTTGCCATGATGACGAATTAGAACCTCCATGTTTAGAGGCAGTATACCAATTCTGGAGGGCAGCAGACTGGGAAGAGGCTTTAGCCTGTTTGTAGGCCTTCCTGGGACCATCGGGTTAGCCACAGTCTGAAAACCGGGCGCTGGACTCGATGGATCGTTGGTATGGAGCGCAGATTTTTGCGGTGAATTCCCAAATGCTTGCATTATGGGTTTTCATAATCCGTTGGGGGGTTTGCTTGCAGAAGCAGAAGGAAAATAGGTGGACGAAAAGGACAGACAGAAGGAAATATTTCTTGACACGACGAGTGATTAAAATGCAGCATTCTCTGCCAGAGGATGTAGTGATGGCCACAGGCGTAGAGGGCTTTAAAAGGGAATTAGTCAGATTCATGGACGAGGGGTCTATTAATGGCTTACTAGCTACGGTGACTAAAGGGAACCTCCATGTCCAGAGGCAGTCAGCCTTTGATTCTCAGTGCTAGGAGGCAGCATCGGGGGAATGAAGGCCTCGGGCCTCTCTGCCCTGTTGTTAGACTTCCAGAGGAACTGGTTCTCCACTGGGTGAGGCAGGATGCTGGACTAGATGGACCCTCACTGGTGTGATCCAGCAGGGCTCTTCTTATGTACTTATCAGGGGAAGACCTTAGCCTCGATGCCCTGTTGTTGGCCCTCCGGAGGAATTGGCTGGCCACTGTGTGAGACAGGGTGCTGGACCAGGTGGACCACTGGCCTGATCCAGCAGTGCTCTTCTTATGTTCTTATGAAAGCCTCGGCCTCTGTGTCCTGTTGCTGGCTGCCCAGAGGAACTGGCTGGCCACTGTGTGAGACAGGGTGCTGGACTAGAGGGACCACTGGTCTGATCCAGCAGGGCTCTTCTGATGTTCTTATCATGGGGAAGGCCTCGGCCTCCATGCCCTGTTGTTGGCCCGCCAGAGGAACTGGTTGTCCACTGTGTGAGACAGGATACTGTACTAGATGGACCCCTAGTCTGATCCAGCAGGGCTCTTCCAGTGTTCGTCTGCTGCAGATTCAGCAGTGAAATCTGTTCCTAATTGCCAGTGTGCATCAGTCCGTTGCATTTGACATCAGATAGGAACAAGTTTGCACCTTATTTTTGCAAACATCTGGTGTGAGGATCAGGACTCGTGTGTTTGAAGGTTTCCTTGACTTTACACACTGTCTTTTCTCTCCACCCCCGTTCCCTTTCTTTTGTGCATTTGTCTGTTTTCCCTTTGTTTTTGTTTTAAATATATGCTTCTCCCCAGAGGATGCAAAAGGCAGCTAAAATCAAGAAAAAAGCGGTGTGTAAGACTTTTTCTTGACTCCTCGTGCCTGTTTTGGAGTTTTTGTTCTTCTTTTCCCTGTCGTCATCTTTGTTTGTCTTGGAGTGTCGTGACGTCCACTGTGGATCTCTGTAAAGCTGTGATTTTGGGTTCCCATTTGTGTGTCTTTTAAGTGTCAGTGACGGCTCCTCTGCTTGGTTTGCCCTTCTCTTCTGGGGCCTCTGTGTGTCTTGCCAAGCCCAGATAAATGCCATGTGGTTCCCTTGCTAGAATATCCCTTTTCTCTTAAGCCTTGACACATCTCCCCTGCTTGTAAGTTCCTGTTCCTTCGCTTGTTGTTGTTCTTCTATTCTGCGTGCTCCCTCTAGTGGTCGATTCGATATCACATTGCTTAATGTTTGGCATAAAAACCTGCAGTTTAATTTGCAGGGAGATATACCAGACATAAACCGATGTAATATCATATTTGACCACTAGAGGGAGCAAAACACATGCAAAACAGGGAAAACAAAGAAAAAAATAGGAGCTTACAAACAAGGAAAATGATAATGGGGAAATGCCCTTACTGTCCGTGATCTGTGGAGGAGACCTGGCTGCCGCAGTGTGTTGTGACCCATTCAGGAGATCCTGTCTTGTGATGTTTGGACTGTAAATGTGGTTGTGAAGTCTAGCTGTCTGCTTCTGGGAGGGCAACTGAGACACCCTTTTTTGTTTTGCATGTGGGAGTTTTCTCCGCAGTGTATTTGGCATGCTTTGAATGAGTTCCGAGGTATAAGGGTCCCTTGAAAGATTTCTTTCTCTCCAAACTCAGCAACGTGATCCTCCGGTGGGTAATGAAAGGCAGATTGGACTGCAGAGCTCAAATTACTTACACTAGGGTAAATGTATTGGAGTCACGGTGATCGGGGCAGGCCTGAAGCATTTTGACAACCCCTAACAGACATATTGGATTTCAGCAGCTGCAGAGAGGGCAAATTGGCTGGAGCATGGACTCTAATCTGGGGGAACCAGGTTCGATCCCCCACTCCTCCCCATGCAGCTGCTGGTGTGACCTTGGGACAGTCACAAGTTCTCTCAGAGCTGTTCTCTCAGGAGCAGTTCTGGAAAGAGCTCTCTCAGCCCCACTTACCTCACCGGGTGTCTGTTGTGGGGAGGGAAAAGGAGATTGTACACCACTCTGAGACTCCTTCGGGTAGTGAAGGGCAGGGTATAAATCCAATCTCCTTTCCCTCCTCCTCCTTTTCTTCTTCTCCTCCTCCTCCTGTTACATGCACTATAAAAAATTACCCTTTCCAAGTGAGAGATGAAGGCATGCCTGCAATTTTAATTCACCGGGGGGGGGGAGGGGTTGTTTCACCAAGGGCTCCCAATAACTTGATGTGCATGGCCCCAAATGACACACGATGCTAAAATTCTCTTCGTTGGTTGGCCCTAAAAAACAACAACAGCTAGGTGGGAGGAGAGGTTCCATAGATCAGGGCCACAGTGCTGGGTAAGGGAAGATTATCTCTCCTTTCTGTGCCTTTCCTCTGATCGAAAATGCTCCCCCGCCCCTAGCTTTTAGTCTCGGTATGTATACAAAAATTAGCACAATGTGAGCTATCGGTTATTTTTTTTTGCCCTTTACTGGGGTTTAAAGGAACATCCTTTAAAGGAGCTGCGGTGGCTCAAGTGGTTAAGACGCTGAACTGCAGGCTGTGGAAGGTCGGTAGTTCAGCAGTTCAAGACCCGAGTGCCGCATGACGGAGTGAGCTCCCGTCTCTAGTTCCAGCTCCTGCCAACCTAGCAGTTCGAAAGCAAGAAGTTGCAAGTAGATCAATAGGTACCACTACGGTGGGAAGGGAACAGCATTCCGTGAGCCTTGCTGTTTAGTCATGCCGGCCACATGACCACGGAAACGTCTTCGGACAGCGCTGGCTCTTCGGCTTGGAAACGGAGATGAGCACCATAACCCTAGAGTCGGATTCGACTGGCTTTCGAGCAAGGGAAACCTTTACCTTTTTAAAGGAACATATGGAGGGGGGTTGTTGTTACCGGGGGAGTGGGAGTTAACCCCCCCATCATTTCCCCCAAGAAGTATCTCCTTCTTAGGGTCAACACCCACACTGGAATCCCAATCACAGGAACCCATGGTGTCTAAGTGCAGAGGATCCTGTGAAGTTACAATTTCTGTGCCAGGTGGAGTCGCCAGTCCGAGCTTGGAGACCTCCCGGAATGACAACTGATCTCCCGACGACAGAGATCAGGTTTCCCTGGAGAAAAGGGAAGGTGAACTCTCCCCCTCTCCCCAGGCTCCACCGCCCAAATCTGCAGGCGTTTCCCAACCTGGAGTGGGCAACCCTGTGGCCAGGAGACGTTGGAGCCGTGTCTTCTGGCCGCCTCCGTGGTCATGGATATGGGAATCCGCGATTTAGAAGATTATCCGGGGACCTCAGTCTTAGGTGTTTTTTTGCTCTGGGCACAGGTTTCTCCTCTTCTTGTTTTTGCATGTATTTTGGACTCGGACTGTCCGAGAGAGCTGTTCTGTGTCGCGGTCCCTCGCTGTGGTGTGGTGGTCGTCCGTCCGTCATTGCGTCCGAAACGCCCGGCTGTCTCCAAGCGGGGAGGGCTTGACGTTCTGCCCGTTGTCTTTTCCAGAGCTCCGAGGGAGACGCCCAGGCCCTGACAGAAGTGGACCTCTTCATCTCCACCCAGAGGATTAAAGTCCTGAACGCCGACACGCAGGTGAGCCTGGAGCTGCGAGGTGGACGAGGAACCAGTTGACGTGAGTTGACGTTGGCGTCCTGCTTTGCTGCCGTTACTGAACTTGAGATACAAGACAAAAGGCGTATGAAAACAAGGGGGCGGAATGCCCGTGCCCAGATTTTAACACCAATAACCCATGAATTTAATAATAGTAAGACATATAAAGTACTCAGAACAAATTTTCCTGCGGAACAGGTGGAAATTCACTGGTAAAGTTGAATACAGGTAGAAATCCACCAGTGGAGTTTTTCCACAAACAATTTTAATATTTTTTTTAAAAAGTCCTTGATCTGTAAGTATTACTTCATACTTATTCTATTTATATCCCGCCTTGCCAAGACAAACTGGCTCAAGGTGGCGTACAAGTTTAAATATGATAAAACAATAAAATACAATAAAATACTTACAGATCAAGGACATTTTTTTGAATTTATTAAAAATTGTGGAAAAACTCCACTCGTGGATTTCTACCTATATTCAGCTTGACCAGTGGATTTCTACCTGTTTATGGAAAATTTGTTCTGAGTACTTTATATGTCTTACTCTTATTAAATTCATGGCTTATTGGTGTTAAAAGTTGGGCACATGCATTTTTTTTCTTGATTACGGAACTTGAAGCAGAGGGTTCCCAGGAGGTATTTGTAAATTTCTTGCATTGTGCAGGGGGTTGGACTAGATGACCCTGGAGATCCCTTCCAGCTCTATGATTCTGTGACATCTCCCATCCCATACCCTGCCCTCTTCAGCTCCCGTGGGGCTCACAGGATTGAAGGCACAGGGGTGGGGTGGGGGTCCTGCTCTCGCCTGTCATTCCACACAGCAGTGCCTCTTGACAGATAAACTGATGTAGTCACATGGTGGCCAACAACAGGGGTAGATTAGAGCATGCATCCTTCATCCTGGCATCCCGTAGTCAATTTGCTACAGGCAAGGCCCAGAGCGCCGAAAGCAGAAAATTCATTTAAACATCTATCCCACTTTCCCCACCAACGGGGACCCCCCAAGCGGCTCACGTCATTCTCCTCCCCTCCATCATATCCTCACAACGTCCCTGTGAGGTAGGCGAGCCTGAGAATGTGGGACTGGCCGAAGGTCACCCAGCCGGCTTTCGTGGTAGTGTGGGGATTCGAACTTGGGTTAAGTGCATGGACTCTAATCTGGGAGAACCGGGTTTGATTCCCCACTCCTCCACTTGCACCTGCTGATGTGACCTTGGGTCAGTCACAAGCTCTGGCACAGCTGTTCTTGAAAGAGCAGTTTGTGTCAGAGTTCTCTCAGCCCCACCCACCTCACAGGGCGTCTGTTGCGGGGAGGGGAAGGGAAAGGAGTTTGTAAGCCGCTCTGAGACACCTTTGGGTAGTGAAGAGCGGGGTATCAATCCAATCTCTTCTTCTCTTCTTCTTCTCCTCCTGGACCCTAGTCTGACCCTCGAGTTATTTTATTATTATTTATTTCTTAAATTTCTATCCCGCCTTACCCCAATGAACGGGCTCGGGGCAGCTCGCAACATAAAAACAGCAGCGATAAAAACAGTAGAACGATAAATAACAATAGCAGGCAAAAATCAGATCCCGTGCCTTGTTGTAAAGTAATCATTCCAAAAGGCTCCAGTGCCCAGATGATATCCAGAACAGTGGGGCACTGGAAGTAGGTCACAGACAGTGCCGTGGACGGGACAAGGGGGCACCACAGTGCATGGAATGCCCACCACCTCCACCCAAGGCCTGGCAGAACAGCTCCGTTTTACAAGCACTGCGGAACTGTGCTAGATCTCGCAGGGCCCTGACCTCAAATGGGAGCATGTTCCACCAGGCTGGGGCAAGGGCACCTTGCTGTCCTCGAAAGGCCTGGCTCTGTAGACCCATTGTAGGCGGGAGCCCCCCCCCCTCCTGGCATTGAAGCTGCACTGGCCCAATCCAGCGGCAGCCAGTTTGGAATCACAGGTGTGGCACTCTCTGTAAATATGAATGATTGGCATTTGTGTAGCCCTTTGGGTGTTCAGAGTGCTTCGAAGGCCTATTTTCCTTTAATCTCTACTACCACCCTGTAAGGTAGGCCGGGATAACCCCCATACTGCCACCAGGGGTACTGTTTGTTTAGCCCAGGCCAGCATACGTGATTTCTCCCTTCCTCCATTTTATTTTCACAACAACCCCATGAGGTCATTTAGGCTGAGAGGGAGCGGTCGACCTGAGGCAAACTAGTAAGTTCCGTAGCTGAGCAGGGATTTGAACCTGGGACTCCCCAGCGCGCTACCTGCAAGACCGTACCAGCTTGTATGATATCTTGCCTTCCACATTCCTCAACTATGTATAGACCCAGGGTCACTGGGGGAGTGGGGGGGGGTGTTAAGCTTTGAATTTCCTGCATTGAGCAGGGGGCTGGACTAGATGACCCTTGGGGATCCCTTCCAGCTCTGTGTTTGGTAATCCACTTACCCAGGCATCACTGGAACATCTGAGAGAGATCAAAAAAACTAATCACAGGAAATATATTTTAATTAAACCCGTAGCCTCTTGTTTTCGTACACGCAAAGCCAAACAGATGCTCTGTTCTGGACCCGTTCGCCTTCAGTCTTCCGATGTGCCAAATTGCCCACTTAATGAATTGGAGCGGCTGTGACTACCAGTGGCCTTGTGCAGAGGTTATATTATGGGGTGGACCTGACCATTTGTTATCTCGTTCGAAGGGGGGGGAGGCATGAGTGGAAATTTCTCTTCTCAGTGCCAAGAGGAGTTCGATATTGGTTCGCATCCTTTGTCATAATCTCCCAGCTGAAGATTTATCATACATATGTGAAGAACAGCTGACGGGTTCTTCATTCATTTCGAGTGTGGCCGAGTCGAGAAAAATGGGGAGGTGGGGGCCCCCTTAAATTCAAGAGAGTCGATGTCAGTTGATTTCCCAGCATGTTTTGTTGGGTGTGTGTTCATTCTGTGGCAGGAGTACCCAATGCGGTGCCCCGCTGGCATCTTTCTCGGTGCCCACCAAGTGGGTGGGGTCAGGTGGGGCCCATACTCAGAAAAGCTTCTGATTGGCCACGGGATAGCTGATTAAAATAACGTTTTAACGGCCGCAGCCACCACAGTTGTTGGTTTCATTCTCCCAAGTTCCTCTTTCCTAATGTATTTTTTAAGCTAACCCTCTTCGGTTCAGTTTCCCTGTGTGTGTGTGTGGCTATGCCCCTGTGGCAGCCATTTTGCAGCTGATGCCGTCTTTTCCGGCAGCCATTTTGTGTTGTTGGAATTCCTCAGATGCTCACAGACCCAAAAAATGTGGGACTCCTGGTCTGTGGGATCGGGATGATTAGTTCTTTTTAATGATTCGTTTAGAATATTAGGTTAGACCCAAAGACCCAGGTTCAAATCCCCACTGGACAGCTGATTAAAATAACCTTTTAGCAACAGCAACCACCGCCATGTTGGTTTTATCCTCCCTCATTCCTCTTTCCTAATATCTTCTTAAAGTTACCCCTCTTTGCTTCAGTTTCCCTTTGTGTGTGCGTGTGTGTGTGTGTGGCTGTGCCCCTGCGGCAGCCATTTTGCAGCCGCCACCATCTTTTCCGGCAGCCATTTTGTGTTGTCAGAATTCCACAGGTGCTCACAAGCTCAAAAAAGGTGGGACTCCTGGTCTAGGGGATATGAATGGTTAGTTTCTTTAAAAGAGCCAGTGTGGCTTGGTGGTTAGAATATTAGGTTAGACCCGAAGACCCAGGTTCAAATCCCTGCCCTGCCATGCATGTTACTGGGTGACCGTGGCCCTGTTACTCTCTCTCCACCTGCTTTGCCTCACAAGAGGGTTGTAAGGATAAAATGAGGACGGAAGAGCCACGTATGCTGCTCTGAGCTCCGTGGGCAGAATAAAAAAACGTACTAGATTGTTCCGGGGAAAAGGAAAATAAATCAGGTGCAACGAGTTGGCCGTGTCTCAGAGCCGCCTTGCTCACCGGCTGTAGCTCTTTCCAGCTCGACTTGTTTTTTCCGAGGCTGTTAGATTGCTCTGGATAGCCCGGAGCACTTCATCGGTGCTTAATAAATAACAGACGGGAACGGGGACTGCGGGGCCGCTGAAGAACACGCGTCTTGCAGTTGCATTTCACCGCCGGGCGTAAAAAGATAAAACTCAGTTTGGGGAGGGGGGCAAGAGCCCGTTCCCTTCTAGCCAACAGCAAGATTTAAGAGGGTGGAGAGGGTAATAAACAAACGAATCCGCTTCCCACGGTGACTAGTCGGGGTTTGGTCTCTGTGCCACCTCGCTGGGCTTTTTCTATGCTGACAGCTCTGACTGTTGGAGAGGTGCGGGCTCGCTGGGTTTGGTGTAGTGGTTAAGAACGCGGACTCTAATCTGGGAGAACCCGGGTTGGATGCCCCATTCCTCCACATGCAGCTGCTGGTGTGACCTTGGGTCAGTCACAAGTTCTTTCAGAGCTGTTCTCCCGAGGGCAGTCCTCGAGAGAGCTCCCTCAGCCCCACCTACCTCCCATTGTAAGCCGCTCTGAGACTCCCTCGAGTAGTGAAGGGCGGGGTATAAATCCAATCTCTTCTCTTCTTCTGATTTCAGCTGCAGAAGCAGGGAAAAGACCTCCCCCACCCCTCTGACTGTCGGGACTTCTGAGGCGTGGGTATTGAGTTAGGGGGCATGGCCCCGCGGTGCCCCACTGTAGCTACGCCCCTGCCGACCCAGTGTTTTTAGAAAGTGTTTGAGCAAGGCTTCTGGCTGGCTGTGTGTGCATGATTCAGAACATTGCTTCGACAGCAGCTGTCACCACAGGACAAGAAAAGGCCCTAGTCCTCGCTGAAGACCCCCAGAAAGTTATCTGCTGATCTTAATGCCCTTCAGGGGACATACCGGGAGAGGCAGTCTCGAAAGTACGTGGGGATAGGTTTGTTGGTTTCTGCTGCACGATTAACAAGTCCCAAGGGATTCTGATTGTGGGGAGCCATAGGCAGTGTTCCCTCTAAGCTGCGTGAGTGTGAGCCAGCTCAGTTTGTTAGCCTCCGGCTCGCACATTTTTGCCTTCGCTCAGGAAGGAGGGCTCCAGAGCAGTGTTCCCTCTAAGCTGAGTGAGTGTGAGCCAGTTCACAGTTTTTTAGCCTCCGGCTCGCACATTTTTGCCTTAGCTCAGGAAGGAGGGCTCCAGAGCAGTGTTCCCTCTAAGCTGAGTGAGTGTGAGCCAGTTCACAGTTTTTTAGCCTCCGGCTCGCACATTTTTGCCTTAGCTCAGGAAGGAGGGCTCCAGAGCAAGCTAATGTATGCAGCAGCCAAGTCGCTGGCTCACAACTTTAATGCCAGCCGCTCACAAAGTAGGATTTTTGCTCACCGGACTCCACAGCTGAGAGGGAGCATTCGTGGAATGGCACAGAGCCAAATGGGTGGGTGAGAAAAATCAGCCATGACGGAACACAGCAGGGCAGAGCGGGGGAGCCCAATGTAGACTAATCGCCGCCGCCTCAACCGTAGGCCAGGCGGAACGTCTCCGTTTTTACAGTCCCCTCCGGAACGGCATGAAAAGCGAGAAGGAAGACCTTTCTCAAGCATGGTTCTGGCTTTTCTGCATCCTCCTAGGAAACCATGATGGACCACGCGCTGCGCACCATCTCGTACATCGCCGACATCGGCAACATCGTGGTGTTGATGGCGAGGCGCCGGATGCCCCGTTCGGCTTCGCAGGACTGCATTGAGACCACTCCCGGGGCTCAGGAAGGGAAGAAACAGTACAAGATGATCTGCCATGTCTTTGAGTCTGAGGATGTAAGCGAAGCGCATGGTGCACGACATCCGTTCTTCCTCGGTTAATCCATTCCGAGGGTAGCTCTTTGCAACAAGCCGTGTCTTCAGCGGGAATCCCTCGCCCCCTTCCCTCTGTTCCCGTGTCCCATCACTGCCAACAAAAGGGCACGGAGGCCGAGGCCTTCGCCCTGGGGCTGCCTCCTGGCTCTGGGATTTGAAGGCTTGGTGCCTCCGAACGTGGAGGTTCCCCTCAGTCACCGTGGCCGGTAGCCACAGATAGACTGATCCTCCATCAATCTATCCAACCCCCCTTTTCAAGCGGTTTATTCCTGTGGCCATCGCGGCATCCTCTGGCAGCGAGTTCCACATTTGAATCACTCTCTCTGTGTAAAGTGGTGTTTCCTTTTGTCCGCCTGAACCTACTGCCCGTCAGCTTCACTGGATGCCCTCATGTTCTAGTTGTTGTTTTTTTTTGGGGGGGGAGAAAATTCTCTTCTGTCAACTCTCTCCACCCCATGCAGTTCTCTTTTGTCAGCTCCACCCACAACCAGAGATGAACTTGCTCTTTTTTAAAAGAATAAAGTATTCTTATGTTTGCATTGCTAACCCATGGCCAGATTTGGTACCTGGGGTATTCCAGTTCTGCATTAGGGAAAAGCCTGATTCATCCGGGGGGTGGGGTGGGGAGGTTGGCATCACTTGCCCCAGGGTAAATGCTGTGAGTGGGGAAATCATGCACAAATTCCTGCCCTCCTTCCAACCGGCTGTCCTCCCTCTC